ATTACAAGTCAAATGTTCAAAACCTAATAGTCCAAGCCCAAAATCCTTAAACAAGAAATGGTAAAGGAACTTGGTTATGCACATCTGATCAAGTAATTTGCATTTAAGAAAGCAAGAAGATAACATTTTTAAATTTTGTCGGGATTATTGTAAAGGATGAAATATGTCCCAGTTGTAGATTTGTATCGATCATTATCTTGTAGGAAATATTTTGCAATGTTTTTTATGGTATGTATTTCACCATTTTCAAAATAAAATAGCCTAATATATTTTATTGTTTTTCTCATGATCCAAAAGGCCCCTACTTAATTTGTAGGCTAGAGCTCAGCAAAAGACTAGAAATGGTACTGCTAATGCCCTTGTTGGTGGCAGTTCTTTGTAAAGTATACTGATGCCTTCTCTGATATTGTCAGTGTCATCTGTGCATTTTACATTTTAATTGAGTCAATATGTTTTCATAAATATTACTTATACCTTCTTTCCCACATAATGAGTATGTACATTACCTGTGCTTCAGTACACAACAATGATAAGTCTAAAGCTGTAATGACTAAATAAGGGTACATTACTCAGGAAGCTAACATGTCTTGGTTTTTAAAGCCTTATTTTGGAGCCATAATCAGTTTTGTTTAAACTTGAGCATGCACCTGGATTTTCAGGTGGAATGAGCTTGTTCAGAAACCATGTGAAGAGGGAGATGAAAGAGGATTGAAACTCATTCAGTCAATTCTTAGATCAATCATGCTCAGAAGAACAAAGTCTACCACAGATCGAGAAGGCAGGTAGGCATAAGTTGTGTAACAAAGCATTTTTTTTCTTTGCTTCTATTTCAATGTATATTGGGATTAGTTATTGCTTATGCAGAATTTACATTCTTTATGAAAAATACCATTATGATGCAGGCCAATTTTAGTTCTTCCTCCAGCAGATGTTCAAGTAATATATTGTGAGCTTACAGAAGCAGAAAAGGATTTTTATGAGGCCTTGTTTAAACGATCAAAGGTTGTGTACATGGTTTATGATATGCTTTTGTACTCATTGTTTTGAGAAGAAAAGCCAAAAAATGTCATTGACATAAAATCATTGGTTTTAATTCCTTCAGGTGAAGTTCAATCAGTTTGTTGAGCAGGGGCGGGTGCTGCATAATTATGCTTCTATTTTGGAGTTGCTTTTACGGCTCCGTCAATGCTGTGATCACCCATTTCTTGTGCTGAGGTTTGATAATCAACATTATATATCGCTTGGCACATGCTTATATTACATTTTCCCCCAACATTTTTAATTTTTTTTGTTTATGTTGATCGTTAGAATTGTTAATACTTTTTTTGTTCCAAAAGAGTGACCAATGTACAATTTTATAATTTAGGCAAGATACAACTAATCATGAAACTGTGCTTTAAAAAAATCTTTGCCAGTTATCGTGTAGTTGGTATATGATCCCCCCCCCCTCTCCACCAAAAAAACGGCAATCACATGAAAAAAGCTCTATTTGATCAAGGCATCAAGCTAGACTCTTTTTAGGGACGCAGCAGTGTTTATGACATTTCTCTTTCTCTCGGCAAACAAGTATATACTCCACATTGTAGCAGCCTGACAACTAAATGCCCTCTCTGGAACTCATATGAAAACCTTTGCTGACGGTTTTCCTACACTTCTTTTGGTTTCTAGTCGAGGCGATACTCAAGAATTCTCGGATCTGAATAAGCTTGCCAAACATTTTCTTAAGAGTGGACAGAAGACTGCTGGAGAAAACCAAGATGTTCCATCACGAGCTTATGTTCAAGAGGTTGTGGAGGATTTGCGTAAAGGAGAACAAGGAGAGTGTCCAATATGTCTGGAAGCCTTTGAAGATGCTGTTTTGACTCCATGTGCCCATCGGTTATGTCGAGAGTGCCTTTTAGCAAGTTGGAAAAGTCAATCATCTGGTTTTTGTCCTGTTTGTAGGTATCTCTCACTATTTTATGTTTGTAGGTACATATGTATATACACATGCTACTCCGTTACAGAAAGTTTGAAACACATCTATGTTTTAAATTTCCTCGTTTATAGAAAGACCGTCTCCAAGCAGGAACTGATCACAGCACCAACAGATAGCCGTTTCCAGATAGACATTGAAAAAAATTGGGTGGAATCAGCTAAGGTTACTGCTTTGTTGAATGAACTAAAGCAACTTTGTACTCTAAACTCCAAAAGCATTGTTTTTAGCCAGTGGACTGCCTTTTTGGACCTCCTTCAAATTGCTCTTTCTCGGTGCAGACACTTTCCACTTGTTTATCCATCCTCTCAAAGTATTTTTTCCCTGTACTCACATTCTGTTCTACTCAGTTATCAATATTTTACCTGAAATATTTGCAGAAATGGTATATCTTTCCTTCGCCTTGATGGGACACTGAACCAACAACATCGAGAGAAAGTAATTAAAACATTTTCAGAAGAACACAGTGTTTTGGTGGGTGTGCTTCACTGGCCCTTTAGCTATTGGAGAAGAAACAATTTTTGACACTGTTATGTTCTTTGGCTCAATTTTTTTGTAGGTTTTGCTGATGTCATTGAAAGCTGGGGGTGTTGGATTAAACCTTACAGCAGCGTCCAATGCATTTGTCTTGGTAAATATTGATGTTCAATGTTCTTGTGGCACAGCTCATAATAAAAATACGTCATTTTTACAGATGCAAAGGGACATATTACATATGTATGAAATTTAAACGTTCCATAACACTATGTTTGGTTCAAGGAATCTGAAAGGAAAAAGAGAAGAAAATGAGAGAGAAAACAACTTTTCTTGTTTGGTTAGAGAGGAAAAAGAAAAGTGGAAGGAAAAGAAAATGGGGGGGGGATGCACTAAGAATAAGGAAAATTATTTTCCTTCCGTTTTGGTAATGAAAAGGTGAGAAAACCCCTTTCTTTTACTTTCCTTTCGAATTCCACGAACCAAACATAGGGCAAAGGATTTTTTGTTATAACATTGTCTGGATTGTTTTGGAAGCCGTGCAGTTCATAATATTAGTATCGCACCAGCTTCTTTATTTTGTACATCATGGTAATTGTTGGTATTTTGTTGTGTATAGGATCCATGGTGGAATCCTGCAGTGGAGGAACAAGCTGTGATGCGTGTTCATCGCATTGGACAAACTAAAAAAGTGACAATCAAACGATTCATTGTGAAGGTATATTACTCCTTACGCCTCTAAAATAAGTTCTTGTTGCAAGATACGATATTTGACTGTCTGAACTCAATTTATTTGAACATTGGTATACATTTAAAAAATAAAGTTTTTTATGTACTCCGTAGTTAAAAACCACATAAGTTTTACTAAACAAGAAGTAACAAGGTTATTATACTCCGTAATATTTTATCATACAAGTACTGAGTAGTGAACGTTGGCAAAGGGGTCAAAGTTTGACCTGCGAATGGTAAGCAACAACTTCTTTTAAGGGCAGAGGAGGTATTACTGTATTAGTCTTCTCGTCACAGATAGATTGCAATAGAATCCACTACGGGTTCCAAATTCCAACAAACATAAAAAAAATTGAGTTTTTTTTTTTTTTTGCTGAGAAATCTTATTTTTGCGGATCTGCAGGGAACGGTTGAGGAAAGAATGGAGGCAGTGCAAGCCAGGAAACAACGGATGATTGCCGGTGCACTAACAGATGAAGAAGTCCGCACTGCGCGAATCGAAGAACTTAAGATGCTCTTCTCATAGAGCCACACAGAGTTGGATATATATACACACTTCCTACTCTGTCACGGCGACTCAGAGATCCCATGTTCCTAAAATGTATTCCAACAACTCAGCTATCATGAAATGGTGTGAAGGGAAACCGTCAAACACACATGGCGACAACAATCAAGAACACACTTTTGAAGCAAAAGATCCCATTCCAGCAGAAGGTAGGACTGAGCTTTTTCCACATTGATATCTGGAGCTTTTCATTTCTCAGAACAGCAGCCTCTGATAAGCATAGCATGAAGATTAAGGTAGGAGCTCATATGTGCATATATCATCACGGTTTAGATTAAGGCGCATATTTGTTTGGATTATGATTGTTAGAAGCCTCCCAAATAGTATCTTAGCTTGGAATCAAGAAACACAGCATGAAGATTCAAGAGTACGATGTTGTAATTATTTATGGGAATTCATTTGTTAGGTAAGTGCTATATAAATGTGATGAATGACAAAGACGATATTGATCTGAGCCGACGTCAATTCAAGTATTGAACTAGACGCTGTGAGTCATAATGAAACAAAGCAATTCAAATCAAAGTTTTTGAATTGGTAATAAATACTCCGTCGTTAAAGGATGTGAAGCTACTGGGTTTCCAATTGACTTTTGAGTGTAGGTACTTCCTCTATCTCAATATGTTTGTCCGTTTTACATTTTTAGGCTAAATGCTCTATGAGACTATGACGAATTTTGATACTACGGTAAACGATAAATAAAATAAAAAGAATGAATGTGCGTACAAGTAGTACGGGCATCCCCGAGCACAAGGGTTAAGGCTAAAGCCTACCCTAACAAGCAAGACACGTGAGCCACAACACTAAGTAAAAAAGCAATACAAGAGACCAACTCATATTTAGTACTCCTTTCGTCCTAATTAATATTGTCTGTTTTGGTTTATGCTGTTTGACTGAAATCATTTTATATGACAAATAGTGTACCATTTAAAAATAAAAATTACATATTTAAATACAAAATCAAAAGATCTACAAAACTAGTACTGACATGACTTTTACTTTATCACATTGCTAACGAAAATCGAGAAAGAAAGTGAATAAAGTTTAACTTTGTGAATAGTTAACATGCAATTTAACTAAATATGAGTTGTGTGTGTTTGATCTGTATAATATCTCCTCTAAGTTTCACACTTAGACACAATAATTAAAAAAATGAAGTTGAAGGGTTGAAAATGATTTAGAGGGGATACCATATGTAATTATGAACCATAAAAAAAACTTCTCCAAAAGTATGAAGTGAAACTTTTTTTGGGATGAAAAAAAAGGAAAACCCTTTTATGAGAGGGAGAGAGTAAAAGTTAATAGAAATGGAAGTGGACACTGCAAATTTTAAAGAATCAATTCTCTCATCTTCCACAACAGTGTCAGTCTATTACTTGTGTAGGACACACTTGAATCTCACATGTACACATTACAACAACCCTAACACAATGATAACTGTTCACAAATTTTCCTGCCAAATTCAAAAAAAAAGAATTGAAAGAAATCATCCACCCCGATCCATAAAAACAAGAACACTCCTATGGTTGCGTAGTTGCGTGAACAGCAGAAGTAGAAGCTTTCCCCCGTGACACAGACTTTGAAGTAGTTCCATCAATGGCCATATTCCCCACTCTAGCTTCCATGGTCTCTCTTTCGTCTCTCTCCTTGGTAGAGTTTCCATTTTTAGAGACATCTGGAGGTGTAGTTTCTGAAGGCACAAGATGCGATGATGGGCCTCCGGTGAGCCAGGGGTGGTTAAGACACTGTGCAGCTGTGGGTCTTTTTTCGGGCACAAAATCAAGGATTGCAACCAGGAAATCCGACATCTCGTTTGCATCTTTCTCACTGAACTCGTATTTTTCCATGAGCACTTTGTTTATAGGCCAGAATCGCAACCGTCTTATGTGCCTCAAATCTCCATATCTATTAAAGAGATCCCGTGAATAGCGACCCCCTAAGGCAATCTATGTATATAAAAACCCATATCAGCAACCTTACCTACCCAACTTCAAAAGAAAACTTCATTGCCTGTGTTTGAGTCAGTTTTGTTTGGCAAAGCACAGGTGCCAAGTTTGGAGGGTTTTGGAGGAGTTAAGGGGTTATTTTTCATTTTAAATAAATATTGCTTTAATCTGATCAGCTCTCAAAATAAAGATTCAAAATGGTGCGAGTAATTAGTAAAAAACTCAATGACCGTCTTCATTTCTAATCATAAACATAATATAGGTCTGTTTAAAAAAATATGCCATGCCTTGAGCACAAAGCAACCTACCAAAAGCCTTTTGGTGAAAAATAATGTGCTCATCACAATATATGGCATAGCCCTATCTTTGGAAAGTGGTTTCCTTTATGGAAGGCATCCATCTAAATATAGCCTAAGAGACGGTTTGGATGGCTAAGTAAATAATCTAAATATACAGATAAATAATTGAGATTTTATAAAGTGATGGAATAACATGATACATGATCATATAACATCCTAATCACCATTTATATGTCTTAAGAAACAGCCAACTTATCAATATATACAATGTTCCCCTCCACAACCCTCTTCCAAATTGACCATGAAAGAGTAATGATTCCAAATATAAAAGAAAGGAACAGGGTCTCGAAGCTAACCTTTCTTGGCATCATCCCCAACAGCTCCATCATTAAGGCCAGGTGATCCTACGGAATAAGGGGAGTGAGGTTGATCAACAAATAGATAGCAATGTAACACATATCAGTTAATACATTGATAATGATGCAATGGAGCAAAATGGTCTTGCGCTACTTTTAAGGATAGTGGCATTTCATTCTTTCATATTTAACTAAACACTTTTTCCAGAAATCAGAGTAATTTTATTAACTCAAAAGCATGTAAAAATAGTAGACCAAATAGAAGAACAAGATGGTGAAACAAAAACTGCGACATATACAGAATTGCATGAAGTGACAAATATCCAGTTTATGTTCATGTCTTCATGATTGACATGCTACTATCTATAATGTCCCTAAGTCTCAGAGTAAAACAGCAATGACAGAGTAATACTAAATGCTATTTATAATGGATTCCAATGTATTCTCGGTAACATCTAATCATCTAGTAGTATTAAAATATCTAACTTTTCATAACAAAAAACAAAATATAAAAGCAGCTCCCATTTTAGCAGACATGAATTGTGATGGAACTATGGAAGTATATAGGCAGAGTAGAGGCTTTGAAAAATATAAAAAAAGTAGAAAAACTAATATTAGAACAGTATGTTTTTTAGAAATATATTTACGGGTTTCCCCTTCTCTTTTGAGTTATAGTTTTTATGATTTCATATCATACCGAATATATTTTTGACAACATGAACTTTAGGCATGTTTGATGAGAAGGATATTGCAGCTCAATAATCTTGCTTTCGTGGGAAATATTATACCTCATCCCTGTCATAATTGTCACCACTATGAGGATCAAAAAGAACATCTCCCGTTGCCATCTCAAAGCAAATGCAAGCAAAGGACCAAAGATCTGCTGGAGTTGAATACTTGGAGCCCAAGATCACTTCTGGACATCTATATTGCCTAGTCTGAATATCGCTTGTAAACTGTTTATAAGTCCAGCATGCATTTCCAAAATCGACCAATTTGCACTTGAGGTCAACTTCAGCTAACAGCTTCTGCCTTGTTGAACGGCTACCTCTTTTATGTCTTTGTATTTCTTGGTTTCCATCTGATGAGGCTTCACTTGGTTTATTTGGTACTTCATTGGATTTAGACTCCGTTTGATCCTCAATAAAGTCTCCATCTGGCTTTTCATCATGGTTAGAATCTTCGAGAGTCCCTACTTCACTATCCGGCTCGACTTCATCAGAAACTTCTCTTCCGGCACATCTTTGAGCTGCCCTTTTAGCTTTCCTCCGGATTTTCTTCTTCTGGTTCTTTGTCAGATCACCATTTGAACTCTTGATGTCCTTTGAAGACCCAGTCTCTGAGACAACCTTGGTTCTACTAGATGGAAGAATGAGAGGTGCACCAGACTTCCTAGGGTCTTTGGCTGGATCAATCATCGATAGAAGTAAAATATTTTCCGGCTTCAAGTCTGTGTGTATGATAGAGAGCTCGCGATGCAGATAATCTAGACCCACTAAAATGTGGACACAAATTTCTTTCACCTTGTGAAGAGGAATCCCTCGATAGTCCGAATACTTAATAAGGGTCAAAAGATTGTCACCCAAGTACTCAAAAACCATGCAAACATGTTGTCCATTGGGGCCTGAATGCTTAAAGTTATCCAGTAACTTCACAACACACTTTTTGTCATCTGGATCTGCTTCAGCAATTTGCTTTAGTATGGTAATTTCATCCATTGCTGCTTCAGTATAATGCTGAGCACTCTTTTGAACTTTCAAAGCAACATATTTCTATACCCGCAAAATAGAAGGGAAAAAATAAGTGCATAACATAATGCATTAAAATATGAAGTACAAGAACACAAAAACAACAGCCCAATTGATGAAGTCCAAGAAGGGAAACATAATAAAAAATGGATGCATGACTAGTTACTTTTTTATGAAATGGCATTAACGGGTGAATTGAGATTGAGTTCAATGAAATGATTGAACTGAACGAGGCTGGGTAATTAATTTATTAATTTACTACAATCATATGCATTGAAGATTGATAAAATAAAAAGACAAGCGATTTTGTTGTCCTGTTCATCTGAACACTTCAGTACTCATATCCAAAAACATGATATATTTACTTTTATGCATTTATATGATTCATCCAACAATTTTTAAATATACCTCACGTTGGAGATACTTTTTCCAAAACAATGAAGTTTTTGCCCAGTTATTATTTGACAGCCATTTGTCTAGTGGCGTTGAGCACACTTCATTAAGTTCAATAACTATAGGTCATTGGTAGATAAATGGATTGGAAATGGATTTTTTGAGATGCATCTTGAAGCTCACCTCCGTGTGAGGCAGTGAAAAAAACATGGTTAACGCCTTCGGTGAATGAGCATATATGATAGTTGAGATGCTTTGTGAGGTTTAAGTCTCGATGTGTGTTGTGAGGCTTAGCTTCATTCTTTTGTATTAAGTTAACCTAACTCCTAAGCTCTATTCTTTAAATAAAACTCACTGAGTCTATTATGCTAATGAATATTTCACTAAGCCCATTACGATCCCTAAAGACTATTTGCTTAAACAAACAATTATCGTCACACAACTCAGCTTAGAAGATTTATTATTTCACATAAACCTATGAACTACTCTGCACCCCAACAAAACAATTGAGCTAACGGCCTACCACAACTTTTCTCCTCTTCTCCTTTCCAGCAAAACTCAAACAACCTGTCGCCTTTTTTCCTTTTTCTTTGAAGAATAACGGCAATACTAATAGAAACTTGTTTTACACTCACATTTCTTTAGACCATCAATATCTCCAGTCATATTCCTCCCCTTTTAAAATTTGAACCACTCTTTTATGATTTATTTATGCTAAAAATCATAGGCGCTTTCCTATAAAGAGTCAACTTATGATAGCAGATTATGAAACTTAATTATGACTTCATTTATTTTTACCATTGATAACATGTTATAAATGTTCATAACTTATGCAAAACGTTTGAGGCTTACATATTGCCTCACAAATGGAAAATGCCTCAATGTGCCACTTAAAACATTGTTAGAACAGAACTTGTAGGCCAACATGGATAAAAACCACTTCATTACACCTGGATAGTGTTCGCTAAACACTCATAAATGAATTTTGTGAGTGTGAATCAAACAACTCAAAATTGAACGTGATTAGTAAATCACGGGAGCTATTATAGATGTATTTTAGTTAACAATCAAAAGGCTAAAGTGGATGGTGTTCTGTGAACATTAAAATAGTGATTAACTAAAGCATATATAAGCAAGCATACGAAAAAAAGGTTATATGCGTCAACCATCCACCACCCCAGATTTCTTTGACACTCATCCACTTCTATTTCTAATCATCTGTACAATTGCACAAAGGTTCCTTCTACGCACTTGTAAGCTTTCATGGAAGTAATATATGATGACTAAAGAACAGTCTTCCTACTTAACTTTTTTTTGTATGATTGATAATATGTTTTAGATTATTACTCCCGTCCCACTATTTTTGGGACATGGGGGAGTGGCACGAAAATTAAGAAAAGTTTGTATGATTGATATTATGTTAAAAAGCATGTAGGAATGATTATGAACCGCACAAATATGACTAAATATGGAATGGGACAAAAATAGTGCGATGGGCAAAAAAAGTAAAATGGGACAAAAACAGTGGGATGGAAGGGTAGCTATTTTTTATTTGTAAAAGAAGTTATGCAAAAAAGTTTGAGGCTTACATCTTGCCTCACATTGGGTAGAGTGGGTAGAAAGAACTTGTCTAGCCAACATGGATAGAACACTTCATTGCATCCGGCTAGTGTTCGCCAAACACTCTTAATTAAGTTTGGGTGTGTCAATCAAACAATTTTGTACAAAAATGAAACGTGACTGGCCAACAAGGGGCGTAAAAATGTCCGGAAAAAAACTTCTACATCTGATTGTCATGAAGTATTAAAAAAGTGTTGAAAAGTGAAAACTTTGTGATCAAAATTTGTTCAGATAAACTTTCTGAGCAACATATTTTTTTCCTCAAAAGGAAAGCGAAATATTTTTGGACCAACGAAAAATGGAAAGAGAAATTTTTCATGGGACGGAGGGAGCATTAAAGCCTTAAGTGGTTGGTGTTCTGTGAACAATAAAATACTGATCAAGTGATCAACCAATACTTTTATTAGCAAACGTGCATAAAAAGTTAATTTATAGGCTCATAGTTGTGAATGGCGCTCGCCATTCTCGCCTATGGCTGTGTGGCGACCATCTGACGCCATCTTCAGACCTGGCGAGGCGTTTTACGCCAATCTCGCCATAGGCGGTCGCCATGGACGCCAAACACTGTGGCGAAAGGCGTTCGCCGTCTACGCCAGACGCAGGTCAAGGGTTTTTCTTGACTTTTTTTTTAAAAAACGCGCTGACCTAGTACTCGATCGACCCTCTGCCCTCTCTCCATCGATCGAAATTCTCCTCGCCGACTCAGTCTCCTGCCCTCCTCAAGTTCTCCTCAGCCGGCGCAGACCCTCGTCTCTCTCACGAGTCCAAACAGCGCACTTCTTCGCAGACTCAGAGCCGGCTCAGACTTTTTTTTGTTTTCTTATTGTTTTTACGGAGGAGGATTATTATTAAATATGTTTCTTTCTTTTTAAGTACTATATTTTGTTTTTTGTTTTACCAATAACTCATGTTTTACTTTGATAATTATGTTTGATACAAAGTTAAGACTAAAAGTTTAGACTTAAACTATATATATTTATTTATTTATTTATTTATTTAATGTTCGCCATTTGACCGCCCGCCGCTCGCCACGCTTCTCTCCATAAAAAAGAACCTCTCGCCCACCACTCGCCATTCGCCATTCACAACTATGTATAGGCTTTAACCACCCACCGTCCCAACCCAACTAACACCACCCAGATTCCCACAACTCTCATCTGCTTCTATTTCTAAGTATTTGTATTATTGCACAAATGTTCCTTCAACTTATAATTATCAGCTTCTATAGCTTTCTTGAAAGTAATGTATTTTTCAAGAATGTCAAAGGATTGTATTCAACTGAAAAGCTTGAATTTTAAGCTTTTAGAAGACCAGCTTTTTGGGATCAGAAAGCTGGTGGCCCAAGTGCCCAACACTTCTAATAGATGATCAACCTACGTCAAACAACTCTTTTAGGAATGAATTCAAAAATAAAAAAAGTTGTCCTGTGTGTTGCCAAACAGGCCCTAAGTTATCGGATTTTACCACCCACCATCCCAACCCAGCTACCATCACCCCAATTTCCTTGACTCTCATCCATTTCTAGTTCTAATTATGTGTAAAATTCCACATTGAACTTGTAAGTCTTCATATTAATAAGATAAGATGAATAACAAGTACAGTCTTCTTCTAGTTAATCTTCTTCCAAACACAGTGTATCCCAACATCTAATCGCTATTGAAGTGAAAAAAATACTGCGACAAGTTTGGCTATACCTATGCTCCAAAGAAGTTCTAAAAAGAAAAAAAAATACGATAGAGATTTGTGAAAAGTGTAAAGAAACAAAAATTACGGATTTTTGAGTGTCCCAAGCTAGCCAGACAGTGGAGAAGTGACCCCAACCGAGTTTGCTCTGAACCACATAACGTCCGTGCTTAAATGTATCTCCGATTCGGACAGCGTGGTAGCCTCCGCGCCTGTAGTCTTCGGTCCCCTCGTCCTCCGATGTGTAGTCGCTAGTCTCATCACTCCGATCTTCGCCGTTACGGCCCTCCCTCTCCGCCATTCTCGGCAGGCGGGAGCTTCGGAAAGTCGATCCGGATACGGAATGAAACGGTGCTGAAATCTAGCACAACTGTGAACGTGAAGAACAGAGGGGTATGGGAGAGTTAGGGTTTTCTTTAATTTGATTTGATTTGAGTGGCTGGCTGAAGAAAACTTTGTTTAAGGGGTACAAGTCCCCATGTCATTAATAAGGGGTATATACCCTCAAAAAATAAAAAAATAAGAATAATCTTAAGTTTATAAAAGAATGATCGCAAAATTTATAAACTTATAATTAATAATTTAAATTTTCATTTTAAAATTATTTTGAATTACTTTATGAAAGTTCCAATAGTAAATTTTTGAGATTTGGAGTTTCAGATTTGTTAGTTTCAATTCCAATTCTAAAATTAATCTTTTTTTTAACTTTGCTAGATATTTGAGGTATTTAGATTAGTTATTTTGGAAGTAAGAACTAAATTTAACTAAATATTTATCATTTTTACACTAAAATTTCAATTTAACAAATTAAAAATAAAGAAAGGGTTCCACAATTAGAATCATGCTGATATTGGTGGTGGCCCTTTCCATCAGCGATTCCAGATGGTTAATATGTTTAGATGAGAAATTTTTTTGATAAACAGACAATCATTACTAAAATAGAATATAGAGTAAGTATAAAGTATTTTTTAGAGATCCAATAAAATGAAAACATAAATAACTTTATGTGGCGGAGAGAGTGTAAAAAGGATTGTAAAATCAATAAAATGCAAACATACAATGTCAAATTGGGGCTATACATTTTCAATGCTCTTATTTAGGAGATCAAAAATATAAGAATCTCTATTTTGGTATAAATATAATGCTCTTTTTAGGTAGATTTCTTGAAAAAAGATACTTTTATTATTTACCCCGTAGTAGTTTCGAATTACAATTCCCTATATCTTTAGAAACACGTTAATATCAATTATTGCAACTTTCTTTGCTTTCACTAGGAAAGTAGGAATCGATCCTTTATAAATAAATGAGCCTCAAGTCCCTGAGAATGAGCTTCATTTTCAAGGGATCAACCCTGAAGATTGAGCTTCATTTTGGATTAAAACTACGAAATAATAAAATATCGAAATGTATATATTAAGGCTATTACAACATTTTATTTTTAACTCAGATAGTGGACGGCAGCAAGTTTCCGCCCACCATTAAATTAAGCACACAATGTAAAAAAGTTTCCATCTATAATTGCTTTCAAACTCTAAATGAATATTGGATTATTGTTCAGCTCGCTTCTACAATATCACCTCATGCCATCAAACTATACGTAACACTGCTGAATAACACAGAGCATGGCAAAAATGTCCTAAATAAACACCTCATCCTCGAGATATATGCACACAAAAAGCACTGAACTATGGTATACAAGCACTGGTTGAAAGGAAAAAAAAACACTTCGAGAGCCTTGAGGAACTCGTTCTTATGAGACCTGTCACTTTCACGCCAGAACTAAAATAGTGTCGGACTAAAAACTACCACATTTTGAAGTGCTATTTTTCTTACTCAATTGAGAAGGTGGTAGTTTTTAGCCCACAAGTGTTAGTTTCGAGCTTAGAATTGATGGGTACCACCTGGATTGAGCTCAGTTAGACCATCCCAACAAGACCGTCCCACACAAGTTTGGGGGAGGGGGGGGGGATCAACCTGCAGCAGTAGTGCACAAGATACAACGCATCCGAAGGGCACCTGATGAGGCATCCTCATCCTCCTCGTCTTCATCAATCTCACCATCGTCATATTCATAATATGAAGAAGACCCTTGTGAAGGGGCTCCCGTCCCTTTTTTGCTACTCACCGCGTTTGTGGAGTCTATAAGGCAATTCATGTGGTAGGCATGGCAACAAAAGAATGCAATGATGGACACGCTCTGTATGGAAAACGGATCAAAACAAACACAACACCTTCCACCTCCCCTGGTTTTTGATTTAACCACCATGGATTTTGTTCCAAGGTTTCGGTCAACGAGATTTGAACCCCTCTGTTCACCCCTCTTGGAACGAGCTTCATCTACCTCATCACTTAAGTGAATAGCACGCTTTGCTTCTTTGTAGTATTTTATCAAAAGGTTAACACAATCAGCCTGATAGGACATGCGACCAATCATCAGAAACAATGAGCAGTCGGAGCTGTTTTAGGGTGAAAAGATGACATAAAAATCTCGCATACCTTGAGTATGTCATTACAACCATGTCTGAGAGAAGTTTCTGTCCTGTAGTCGGTGACGATTTTGACCAAACGATCCCTCAGGCTGGAAGTGAAACAAACAACGCAATTACTACGTATATAGTAAGGCCCCATTTTAAATTGTAAAATACATGTTAGAATTAAGAGTAAATTCAATAAATGGAACCTAATTACAAGTGACTTTCCATATTTAGTCCCCAATTATAAAATATTACATAAATGGTCCTCAATTTTTTGAAAACTATTCCATAAATAGTCCTTTAGGCCAAATATGACCAAGTATTGTTTTTCCACAAATAGTCCCCTAAGGACCGATTATATAATAGTTTTCAAAAATTGAAGATCATTTATGTAATATTTTATAATTGGAGACTAAATATATAAAATTATCTTTAACTAGGGACCATTTATGGAATTTTCTCGAATTAAATATCAAAGAAGTAATTGTTGTGCACTCATGTCGATGTCTGGCAATAGGGTTGCACAAAGTAGATCGTGAAAGAGAACTTTAAGCCAAATACTTCATTTGTCCCATTTTATAGGTCTCACTATTCTTTCTATTTGGTCCCACAACTATGTTCACTTTCCATTTCTAAGCATCACTCTGTCTTTTCCAATTTGCCCTTTTTTTATTTGACATTTGGATCCATTCCCACAAGTTCAAATACATGACTTAGGTGATGTCTAATTGCCTCTTTCCAATACATGACTTCAAATTTGTTTAAATAATATTTCAAATACACAAATACCCCTAATGATTTCAAATACATGTTTAGTATATCTGGAGCTCTCTAAATTAATGTGACCTAGAGCTAGAAAGTGTAGATTGCTTTTCATAGGATGCAATCCAACAAGCAAACATTAACAAAAACAACCATGCACACACCTACTGCGGTCTCTCTAAGGATCGAATATTGTAGGATCAGAGTCAAGGTGCTAGTTTCAAGCATCTTTATATTGCAGTCTTAGCTTGATTATCTCTAAACGGTGTAGCAATTCTGTACCGCTGTGGGGCCTTACTAAACTTACTATTCCCTATGTTCCAAAAAGACTTGTTTGTTTTCTTTTTTGGTCCGTGAGTCCATCCCAAAAAGATGTGTTTGTTTCTATATTTGAGAAGTTTTGTTAAGCCCACAGTGTCCCTCTCCTATATATAAACCTCTCCTATATATAAATTCCAATCACACAACTTTCATTTTAGTAAAATTATGCCTAATCAAACTGGGAAGATCTTTTAGCGACGGAGGGAGCAATATGGAGGGGTCAGAAGTTAAAAACCCAACTATAATGGACTCTGAGCATAGAAATTTATCCAAGTACAACAGAAGAGAGTAAAATGGGTTTTGCTAAAATAGATTATCCTTAAAAATGAACTGGCAGGAAAAGGAAGCAAATATGAAAAAATGATTCAAGAAATACAATAACAAACCTACCGAGGTATCTCCAAGCCATTGGGCAGCATATTTACTATGTACAGAGGATCAAGGTTCCCTACTGTATGCTCTAGCAGTACACCAACCTGCATGTACGAAGACAGAATTCTACTCAACCGGGAAGAAAGGTGGAAGTGCACAAAAAAGGACTTGAACAGAAGAGAAATAGAAAAAGAGTCTTGAGGAATGCACCCAGAATTCTTATTTCCAGTAATTTGCCAAGTCATAAGCTTACCATTTCAGGTTTATTAAGGCACTGTCTAATTAATTCTTCCCACAGTTCATCATCATGCTGCTCATTTACAAATTCTATAGCCTGTATAAGTCAGAAGACTTTATGAGTGGATCAAATTAAGAACAGAGAGACGGGAGAGAGAGAGAGAGTTAAATTGGAGAGTACCTCTTCGATATCTCCTATATTATTAATGATAACTGCTAGGGCTTGCTTAGAATTCCCCATTCTTCCAAGGATGAAAACTTGTTCTTTCAATAGATTCCTTTTGACACAGATATCGTAAGCCTGAAAGTATCCACAATCTTTCATTCAGATTTTTAAGAATGTAAAAGTTGTGATTTATCAACATATTTATCTTGCAAACCTTCTCAAGCGTATAATGCTGGCTACTCCTAAGAAATGGAAGCAGCATCTTGGGATCATACTCAGAGTAGAGCTCGACCTATCAGATGTTGCATAATCAACAACGATATAAAATTTGTAGAAAGCATTGGAAATCCTAGCTGGGAAAAAAATTACAGCAGATCAGTGGTGAAGAAGTTTTGAAGTAGCACTTCATGAAATGACAATTTTAAACTTGAAATCCTGATTGGAGTACAAACAGCTAAAACAATCAGATTTACAGAACATTTTTGAAGTGAGCTGGTCTTTTGAACTTATTTCTGTTAGGCTTCAGCCCAAAATGATTACTTTTTGTAAACATATACGGATTACAAAGACAGTTACATTGAGATCTTAAGGGTTTGGTTGGAAGGAAGGGGAGGTGAGAGGAGGGAAACTGAGCTCCTCCCCTTGTTTGGTTTAGATAAATGAAGGGGATGGAGTCCAAAATTTTAGCTTGAATGCCTTCCCCTCCCCTCCAATTCGGAGGATTTCTTGTTCCCTCCTCTCTTCTTTCTGTTATTCCATCAATTTTCTCTCCTTCATGTCATTAAAAAATAAACTTAAAATAATAATAATAATAATAATAATAAATAATATAAAATAAATATAATAAAAAGAAAATAAAAAACAAAAATAAATAAAAAATAAAAAAAAAGTGATAAAAAATAAAAAACAAAAATAAAAAATATACTCCGTAATTATAAATTAAAAAATAAAAATGTTAAATTAATAATTATAATGAATAAAAAAATAAAAGTAGTAATAATTAAAATTAAACATAAATATGTAAATAAATAATAGTAATTATTATCATTATAATAGTATTAATAATAATAACAACAATAATAATAGTAATAATAATAATATACTCCCTCTGTCCGGCATTAAACTTCTCATTTGGACTTTTTGCCATTTCCAATCATCTCCGTCAACCCCACCACCAACGCCGACCCCCGCCCCTCACCACCGCTGCAGCCCCACCACCACCCGTATCACAATAGTCAGCCCACCTGAAAACTTAGACCTAAAAACAGTTGAGACTAGAAAGGAGAAGAAAAATCTCAACCCTACGCCGATAGGCGCTAGGCCACCATCGATGTCAGCCGCCATGTCTGGGAGAAAAAGAAAGAGAGGAGAAAGAAGGGGGGAAAAAGAGGAGGAGAAGAAGATACATGAACAGATCTGTCGCATATCGACAGATCTGAGACACAGAGTCAGGAGAAAGAAGAAGAAAGTGAAGAAATAGTACATACGATTTGGGAGAAGAGGGATAACAAATAAGAGAGAGAGCGAGAGAGAGGGGGGAGGAAGAAGAAGAAGAAGAAGAAGAAGAAGAAGAAAGAGTAAATCTGAAGAAGAAGATGATGAAGATTGGGAGAGAAGAGCAGAGAAGAAGAAGAAATGACTGAGTGTGAGTGGGAGAGAGAGAGAGAGAGAGAGAGAGAAGAATAAGAAATGGGTGTGAATCGAGAAAGAGGAAGAAACGAACGACGGAACAGATGAGAAAAAAAGGAAAGGAAAAAAAGAAAAAGGATAAATGGGTGAGGGTATTTAGGGTAGTTTGTGTGATAAAAATTGAAATGGGAAGATTAATTCCGGACGGGAAAAAAGGAGAAACGGGAAGCTTAATTCCGGACGGAGGGAGTAATAAATAAATAAATAAATAATAAAAATTATAAATATAAACAATGAAAATAAAAACTAGTGCTTTCCTTCCTTCTGCCAACAGCCAACCAAACAACGTGAAGGGAAACCCTCCCAACCCTTCCCATTCCTTCCCATCCTTTCCTTCCCCTCCCCTCCCTCCCAACCAAACAGGCCATAAAGGGAAGCTCTGGTCACACCAAAACATCCAGCCTGCTCAAATAGTATTGTTCAAGTTCTGATACAACTTTCTACATCAAGTTACAGTACTTGAGTATAGGGCATTATCAAGGACTCAAGTTTGATAAGTTACACAAACTTGGGGATACTTATCAAGATATACACAAAACTTCCTGTTAAGTGCTGCTTTACTTACACCAATCAACCTAAATGTGTGTGTATGTGCGTGTATGTGTGTACACAAACACACACAACATACAGAAGTGAATAAAGATATGCAATTCAACTCACATTCACAATCCAAAAGTTGATGACTCAAACTGAAAATATATGCATATGGTAAACACATTTATCTGAAGATAATGAAAAAAAGATATAGATACATCAACTACCATGAATCACTTTTTTGGTGAAATATTGGGAATCATTCTGTAATGTCAGATGGTTTTCCAACAGACCTGGAGATCATGGTAATCCCTTCCTGCATGAGGATTTGCTTCAAAGAGTGCATGGAGATATAGATGTGTTAAGTATCGTGAATCACCCTTATTCCCTGCAGCCAGTTGCAACACAACTTCCGAAGGTGGTATTAAGTCCCTATGTTGAATCAACAAAGGTATTGCACGTTTGCAGTCTACCATCATAAGTTGGGCAACCTGAATATCCATGGAATTTGAAGTAGGACATACATTTAGAACACTGAAAAAACACCCAACAATACCTTTAGGCTTTTTGACACTATACATTCAATAATTGATCGATTCTGTTAGACAAAAATTATACCTTATATTATGTTCATCATATAATAATGTAATAATTATATTCAATATTCTTTATCCACTGTTGTTCTTGTTGTTGCTGCAGATGCATGGGAATTACAATTCATATCAAGGAAAAATTGATAGACATTCTTACCTTTTCAGAAACAGCATCATGCAAATTATGTTTTTCAATGAAGTCAAATAGATCCGGCTTCATAAGCTGGAAAGTAAAAGGTAAATAAATTAGAAAATCTCAAATAGAAAAACCAGTATAGCATAGAATCGATGACATCCCTTTTAAGCAGATGCGATGGTGATAAGATCCGGATCAGTGATAGCAGAAGGCCACCTTAATTATATTATTAGGTGTGGGTTAATTAAGTTTGTTACTATTTTATATTTATTAAATAAAAGGACTCTCAGGTTATTAGGATTCCTGAGGCCCTAGGATAGCTTAGCTAGTTAGAACTTATCACTTTATTCTCTCGATCTTATCCGATCAGTTTGATCTTATCCATTTGTTAGAGTTGTTATAAATATCCCAGCTTCTCAATTGCTGAGATATCCTGGAAAATAAACTATCAATCACATTGAGATCCTCTTGGCTTCTATCCCTTTTTCATCGGTGAGATTCTTACTGAGAGAAGGGAGGGAGAGTTCTATTTAGAATTAATTTAGATCCTGAATTAATTCAAACAGATTTCTATCAGATTGGTACACTAATAGTAATTGTGACTTCCGCGTACATCAGCATACAGTGAAAAGGCCTTATCATGCTGTCCTTCCCTAACATATAACTCTGCCAGTGCCTTGCATGAAAAGTAGCAAAATAATCAATGTCAGCAATGGAAATGCATAATGTAGCCATGTAGCTGATGTTCAAACAAACTTTCAAACCTCCTTGAGTGGACCAGTCATTGATGTTGTGCTAAGCTGAGGCTCTATAGCTGATATAACTGGGGCTGTAGAATAAATTCCAGGAGGCCAAGATTTGATAGTTGCTAAGAGATCATTGTGGAAAGATGAGTTTCTTGTCAATGCCACAAGAGCTACCTAAGCATAAAGGACATTTGAGCATTACATTCACACCTTTTAACCAAGTAAAAGTCACTCATACCATAGAGAAGATATTTTTAAGCTGCATTGTGAGCTACAGACCTCATAAGCAGTATCACGCAGCCTAGGATTTTCTGTTGGGATAAATGGGACCAATACAGGAAGCTGACGAAGATGGGCAAAATGGAAAATCCATCTGGAAAAGTAGCCACTCAGAAGTTAATAAAGGCCTAACTACTGAATGTTTTTTTCGTTTAAAAGATTCTTAATACCTTTCCCATGCAGAAGCAGATCCTCTCAACAATTTTGGACACAGAGATGCAGCTTCAGCATATTTCCTTTCCACGATCAAATGGTCAAGGTACCTTGAACCTACCTAACTCATGTTGAGCATTATGGGGGTAAACTGTCAGTACTACAACTAATAGCTGATCACATTACAAATGAAACCCACCAGAAAATGAAGTAAAGCATGATTGTAATTCACCATGAACTTTCAGATGTCTCAACATGTACTAATCTAAACATTGACTCTACAATTTCAAGTGCTACATTACTAAAACACTTTAAGAACATTTTTTACATTGACACTAGGCAAAATGTAGAAAACACAAAGTTTGATATGGCAGAGGAGAAGCCGGAATTGGAAAAATTGAGTTGCAACGGTTTGTAATTAATAACTTACATCAATGATAAATTGCTAGGTAAAAGAATTTACATCCATGATCTACCTCATCAAGTAATTCACTCTGGCCATGACTAGCTTCAACGGCTTCCAATGCTTTTTCATGCCATCCATGCTGAAGAAGCCAATTAATGTGGTCTTCTGCATCCCTGACAAACAAGCACAAAATAGAAAAGAAAAATTTAGATTATATGCATATTATGGAAGAATTGAAGAGTGATAAAGATTTAAGGAAAGATGTATAACAAAAGTTCAATAATCAAACAAAGTCCATCAAAGAATACACCCAAATGTTTTAAAAATAAAGCCCAAGTCACTAGGTAAATGACTCACTAACCTAGGCTTTGCAATAACTACATCCTTTGGGGACACAACATAGTACAGGGGTTCATCACCTGCTGCCCACTGTCCACCTGCATAGCTGCTACCTGCATGCATTATAAGTAGAATGTAAAAACAAATAAACAATAACAAGTAGCCCCATCTCAATGTTATGAAAAATATTCAGAAGTTTCATCTAAGCCTAGAGTTTTTACACATTTAGTATTTACCAGAGAATGGAGCATGCGCAAGGGAATAGTCTTTGGCTTTATAATGTTCAAAACCATGCACAGGAAGTGCATCTGTTGCGAGCTCATCATTAGTCCATGTTACTACTCGGACCTCTGGTCTTTGGGCAGTTCCCTGTGAGAACAAGATCACAAAACATGGACTTAACCTTATAGACAAAAGAAAAATTATCAACAATATCTGAATCAGCTGAAGGAATAAATCAATTTCAAAATTTAATAGCTTGTCGTGTGAGGATTCCTATTGGAAATAAGACTCTTGCTGAGAGACTTAGATTTTATGCACACATATATACCTGACGTGAGGAAATGGCACTACTGAAGTCCTTATCTCCATCTTCTCCAGGAATATAAGCTAGAACAACCAAGGTATCACCAAATGGAGCAATTCCTGAAATGAAATAGCTGGTTTGAAAAGATGCCACGATATCCACCTGGTTTATACTTATCATTGGGATATGCTTGTATGTTCCTTTGACACCCTTGTTCTGATTTGTTCGTATTACTGCAATTTTGACAGACGTTCCCCACCCAATGACCAAAAGAGTATCATCCTGAATGTGAGTGAAGATAATGAGCATCAGCAGGTCAAGCAAGCAGCATAATGCCAGAGAAATATGATTCCATTTAGAGATGTGGGTTTATAGTTCCTTTGGAATGTGGTCATTACAGAAAAAGTAATACAGCAGCAACAATACAGATTTGTGTATTCATTTATCAATATTTATGAAACTTTTTATTAATATATAATAAAATTGTAAGACTTCTAAGTCCTCAGTGAAAAGTATGTTCCATCAAATAAATGTGTTGTAGAACTGACCTGCCAAACTAAGTGAGGCAGCAGAAGTTCAGGGTGTGGGCTTCCACGAGGTCTTTCAATAAAAGTTATGCGCTGGTCATTGGCAGCATCATAAACTTTGACTCCTGCATCATTAGCCCAGGCAATGAGACTAGCTCTCCATTTCACAGCATGAATTGGGCCTTCACCGGAGTGAAGAACCTAGAAATGCAAAATGTATCATCAATTAATTATTGATCAACATTTCAAATATGCATCCATGCGTTCAAATTAAATGAAAAGCCTTGAATTCAAAAAAATTAAGGCAAACCTGATCCCGGTATCCCATCCATTTCTTGACATTAAAATACAATAGTCCAGCTAAACCACCAGTCACAAATCTCCTGGATGATTTGTTGGCATAACCTGGGTCTAGAGCAATAGCCTTCATGGGGCGGTGATACTCAAATTTCATTCTTTCTTCAGTGAAAAGACCATTAATTATAACAGAACCGTCATCTGAACAGCTCCCAATGTATTCACCTTCCACATCAAAGCAAAGGTCATTCACTGCAGCCGTGTGTGCAGTGAATTCCTTAACCTGCAGTGAAAGAAATAGTTTTATATCCCAATAATATGGCACCTCAATCCAACCAAGTAGGACACCCATGTCTCAACCATTCTTTCATAATCAGAAATTTTCAACTAACTACCAAAATGAATTATAAGTTATAAGTACAGCAACAACAACTACTACTACCCACGATATTCCAACAAGTGGAGTGTCAAAAAGGCACTAGCTTGGCCAGAAAGTCAAAAATCCTATAAACTACAAACAGAAGCATGTTGGTTCATGTGATTCCCAAATTCCCAATCAATCATTTACAAGTTCACAAAGCTCTAGTGTTTCTTTAAACAGACTGAAAAGAATTCCACGTCCAGTCTATTCATTATCAATCAGTTATCATAAAAGCTATGCTGAGATTGCTGACTGCAATACCATTCAACTAGCAAGTACAGTCATATAAGCTATGTTAACTGCAAAATCATTCTACTAGCACAACCAGTCGGATGCAAATGATAGAAGGGGTTAAAAGTTAAGCAAAATCCAATCTCCAACCACAACTATTCCAGCTAAAATGGCAAACAGTTCGCTTCTAGATTTCTAGAAGAATTCAATTAAAGCGAAAAAATTAAAAGAACACAAACCCAACAAGTACCTGATTGCCGAGGAAATCGAGAATGTGAACGGAGCCACCGAGAGTCCCCAGGGCGATCATCCGTTCCGCAACGGCTATACAGGAGGCGGCGTCGTTGGAGAGGAGAGACGGCACGCTGCCGCCCATTCTCTGGTACTTGAGCCGCGGCTCGTCCTCCTCCTCGTCTTCTTCTTCCTCCTCGTCTTCTTCGGACTCTTCTTCTTCTTCCCTCTCGTCGTCGCCATCGATTCCGTTTTCGGACTTGGGAGACATTCCAATCCTCAGAGAATAAGGTGGGCGATGCCGCCGGGCGGATACAGAGAGAAGTGGAGATCTGCGGAGACCGGGAAAAGTGGTTCGACTGTGTGTCCCCGCGTGGGTTGGAGAAGAAAGCTGTCGGAGGTCCGTTTAAACAGTTGTTTGGCTTCTTTTATTTGTTTGATTCCGACGAGTATTTAAGGTGAGATTTTTTTAACGAGCATTTTACTCAGTGGTTACTCCATTTTTTTTACTCCGTAGTTATTTAGATGGGTTTGGAAGGAGGCAGAAAAAAAAACTATGGGCGAATGGTAACATAAATCAATTTATCTCATGTCTCATTGTGACACTTTAGTAATTCTCAAAATGGTTGTTAATAAATATGTGTATTTTCAAATTAATTTTCAAGATATACGAATTATTCAAATAATATTCGTTAATTAAAATTAATGTTCAATTTAGTCTACTAACTAACAGTCTTCAAAACGACATTAAAATTTATACTAACTTTCTAAAATGGTTATTTGTAATTGAGTGTTTCTCAAATTAGTCCATTTTTGAAATAAAAATTATTAAATATAAAAAAAGTATTTTAAATCTTGTAGGATGATACTCCGTAATAAAATAAATAAAACTATTAATATAATTTTATAAATTTGATAGTAGCGTTTCAGTTTGTTTTACATTTTTTTTAGAACAATATCATGAAAATAAAATTTTTAATAAAGGATTCCATCCATTCTAAATGCTTCGATTAACAATGATTGACCAAAATTTTTTTTCAAATAAAGATTATTGAAATTTTGCCTTTAAATTTCTATTAATGTGTAGTCTTATTTTACCAAAAAAAACATGTAGTCTTATTTTGGGACAAAAGGGGTATCGTATTACCAAATTAAACCCACCCTTTGACTTGCACACCACCTAACAAGTCAAACATCTTCCCATTATCTAAAAATTATTCTGATGCCCTCCGCATTGGCATCACGATATGGCCGACGAGTATGAGGCAAGCTTTTAGAGCATGTTCTTTAGCACTGAAAAAAAGAGCTGGATGTTGGAAGAAATTGGAAACACTGAAAGAAACTGGAAAAACTTCAAAAAATTGGAAAACCTAATAAAACTTTAAAAAATTTATTTTAGTGTATTTTTATATTATTCTGATTATAATTATTGTTGTTATAAATTATTATTATTATTATAGTCATCATTATCACGTTATCTTAATGAATGCCTTTAAGATAAAAAAAGTATTGTTATTTTTCAAATACAAAAAACTATCTTTGCAAAAAAATAATTATAAATTTTATAAATATTAAATTTTAAACAGTTTTTTGGTTACATTGCAACTCAATTTATTTATGTAGTATTTATTATAAATAATATATATCTAATTATACTTTATATATTTCAAGATTATGTTTTAAATATCAGACATGTCACATAATGTAATCAAACCTATTTTTTCTTTCATCATTGACATTTTATTTTCATTCTAAGTCCTATTTTTGGAATAAAGACATAGAACTTTTTTTTTTACATTTTTTTTATGTTTTACTCATATTTTAGTCTTTTTCTCTAAACTATTTTGACTTTTAATTTTTTTTATAAAAATTAGAAAAATGAGAAAATTTTGAGTAATAAAGGGAAAGGTGAGAGGTCTTATATAATATTAGATTAATAAAACATTCTATGTAACTATTTTATCCATAATTTTTAATATAGTTTAAAATATTGATGTTTTCCTATTTTATCATGTAGATCAGTTTACAAAAAAATTGTCATATTCATATTAAAAAGTTGAAGAAAAAATAATGAGTGTGAATCGTGAAAATAGTGAGATGAAAAAAATAATTTATAAACTATAGTTATGAACATAACAGTTGTAATAATAATAATAATAATAATAATAATCACATTAAAAATATATCATTTTTAGAGTAATTGATTTGGGACTAAAAAAGTTTGAAGAAAATGAGAATAGTTGGAAGAAATTGGAAAGAGCTGGAAGAAACCGGAAGAAATTGGAAGAAACTAGAAGGTACTGGAAGGAACTGGAAGAAATTGAATGAAACAGGAAGGAACTAGAAGAAAATGTAAGTCAAGAGTTTAATCCCTAAAGAACAAGTTCTTGGTAGATAATAACATGTGGGATTTGGTTCCACGGTGTGCTCGTTCCCATATTAGTAATTGCGTGTGGTTATTAATTATTTCATCACAAAATTTCATGCAAATAGGGCCTTTCAAATTTATAAGGCTCGGCTGGTTGTTAATGACAAGTGTTAATAAGTAGGCATTGATTATGACGAGACATTCAATCTCATTGTTAAATGTACCAATATACACATTGTTTTGAGCCTCTACGTGTCACGCTCATGGCTTATTCACGAGTTAGAACTTAAAATATATTCTTACGCTGAGACCTTAACAAGAAAGTTTACGTGTCTCAACTCTCTAGATTTGTGGACCATAACCACCCATCTTATGTTGCATGTTAAAGAAATCTCTATATGATCTCCAATAAATGCCCTGAACTTTGGAATCAACATTTCACCACTTATTTAGAGGTTGTTTGAGAGTGATTAACTTGTGGATAAAATAATTTCCACAAAAGCTGAAAGCAAAAGCACCTTATAATTGCTTTTCTGAAATAGTATTCTGTGTACAAAACAGTTGTAGAGAAAAGCAGAAACTGACATGCCAAACAGAGTAAAACCACTATTACTCAAAACAGAAGTTAAATTTTTAAACTAGCGCACTGCCAAACACCCTCTTAATATCATGTGGGTTTCATAGTACCACTATTGATACCTCTTTTTTGTTTATAAAGAGGGAAGGAAATGACTTATTAGTATACGTTGATGACATAATTTTGACGGATTCTAAAACTCGGTTCATTCACACCATCATTTTTTAATTTTTTTAAAAGAGTTTTGTACGATTGATCTCGGGAATCTTAATCATTTTTAGGCATTGAGGTCAAACATGCATCTTAAGGCCCTGTTTTTTTTGTTGGAAAAATTAACTTCTAACTTTTTCCAACTTCTTCTAGTTTCTTTCAACTTTTTCAAATTTCTTCCAACTCATTTCAGTTTTTGCCATCAACGACTTAAAAACAATATTTATATATGATGAATATACAATAACATTATATATCCAAAATTATAACACAACACTTGAAACACGGACAATGATGAATTTTTTAATAAAATTAGTTTTTTATACATAGTTATATATGTGGTTATCTAATTAAATATGAAATTGTTTTTTTGAGTAAATTCTCAAAATAACCATTTCTAATAAAGTGTTTTTCAAATTAATCTTCAATAAATAATAATTACCTGCGTGATCCTTTATAATTTAGATCGATTTACTCCTTAAATGGTCTTTTGCCTAAAATGTCTATTACTCCGTAAATGTCAGTCAAATAGAAGCTATTTTGGTATTTTAATTTCTATCATACAGACTTAAATTATGTTTTTGAAATGCTCCTTTATAATTACAAATTTTTCTAAAACTAATACTCCTTCCGTCTTAGTGTATTTGTCCAGTTTTACTTTTTCGAGTCAAACTGGGTAAACTTTGAGTTTCAATTCAAACTGTAATAAAATTGAGAGTAATCAAATTTTCAAAGTTTGTCCAATTTGACTCGAAATAGTCAAACTGAACAAATACATTTTGACGGATGTAGTACTTTCCAAGTAAATGTTTCTCGAAATGAGTATATGAGCCTACTCGGGGTGGGTCCGTTCATCTAGCAGCCATCCACTTAATTTGAAAAGACCATTTTGAAGACTTATTCATAGTCTTGATGATGAAAAATATTAAAATATTCACTACTTTTTACTCGAACTAATTTGGGAATAGATCTTATTAGAAAGGACGATCATTTTGGGAATTCACTCTTGTTCTTTTTATTTTTTAATAAAAACAAAAGCCATTCACAAAATACCGGTGATATTTAAAATATGAATAGAAATCTATAACTTTTTTGTAGTTCATGGACATATTAAAAATATGAACAAGAGTCTATGACTTTAAAATATGAATAGAAACCTTTCTTAGAGGCAACTCAAAATAAAATAAAAATATATGCTACAAGAGGTAGGAAACACTTTGTGTATTGTTTTTATTTATTTTGAAAATAAAATAGAAATACTCCATTAGAATTGACAAATCGGTAGGTCAGATTGAGTTCGAGTTCAATTATTTCAGGCTCAAGTTAATTTTGGGTTCGAATAAGTTCGAGTTCAAATTAAGAACTATATATTCAGAACCCAGTGTCATTAGTTTTGAACAGGGGCGGAGGGAGGGGGGCATGCCTGGGCAAGTGCCCCCAGCGAAATTTTGGCGAAATAGGATTAGGGTACCCAATCGGCGATGGGTGGCCGGATTTGCCCCCCAGATTTTTCGAAGCTCCCTTGGTCCGTCGGCGGCAGTAGCTCGAAGAAGAAGGAGCAATTCCCGAAGAAGAAATCCCATTTAAAAAGATTCTTTTGGGCATTGACCCAGCCCAAGAAAGATGGCGTACTTTAAATTTCAGCCCATAAAAATAATTACGGAGGTATGTTTAGTTGAAGAAATACGGAGTAGTGGAGTACTAGTCCCAAAAAAAAAGGATGTCATGACACGTAATTCATGAGAAAATAGGGAGTACTTTAATTAATGGATAATGCTATTTGTACCTCAAACTTTTGTACCACATTTGTATATCGCATGTTTGCACTGACATTTTGTGTTGGTATAAAATTAATTTTTGGTAACGCACCAACACTTTGTGTTTGTGTAAACTTTTTTAACGTACCAACACTTGTGTCGATATAAACCATCAAAATGTTTGTGTATAACTGTGGTCTACAAATGGGGTACAATTTTTAGTGTAAGTGTAGCAAGACCCTTAATTAATTTTAGCTATTCAGCACTTCAGCGGCTTATTCAGTTGTACACCTGCACTCCACCGTTTCCACGATCGAAATACGAAACCAGAAACCAGAAGGGATATGTAAATTTTAATTATCTAATTTCGAGATTTGTTTCTTAATATTGGAATTTTTTGAATATTGCTAAATTATGTTTTGAATTTTGAATATTTATTTTGTTCCGTGGTTCCAGTGTGTTTGTTGATATTTAAATATTTGATAAATGTTAATGTAATTTCAAGCTCTAGAGATTAAGATGTATGAAATTATTGTTTTAAGGCTATTGATATTTTATTTTGTTACTTTATTATTGAATCGGGAAATTTTGAGACGTGGGATGAATAAATTTGTTATTAGACAAAAGAAGAAATTTTGAGACGTGTAAATTTGTTATTACCTGTTTGGACAAAAGAAGAATTTTTGCCCCCCATGAAGTCTTCCTTGGCTCCGCCACTGGTTTTGAACTGACCTAACATGTTAAGAGATTTATTTTTAGAATATTTAAATTCATACTATCACTTGTATTTTGTACAAAAACAACAATATTATGAATAATATAAAAAATTAAATATGAACCATTTCTTTAAAAAAGTGTAAGATGATAACGTGATATCATTAAAAATTTGTTTGAAAATATATGTTTATACACTAAAAATGAGTAATAAAAAACCGATCCTTATATATTATCATTTCATTATTTATATATTAAAATACATAATTTTGAAAAATTTTTAGGTTAACAGGTCGGTCAGATCAAGTTTAGGTTTGATCCAATTAGACCTATTAAAGTCAATAAAATTTTGAGTGAATTTCCAAAATAGTCTTTTATAATAAGGTTTTATCTCAAATTAGTCCTCAATAAGTAATAAGGAAAAAGACCAAAGTAAGATTAAAATATTGAAAACATATACTAAAATAGGATTTCCATGTTTTTATTCTCGAAATAGGACTTAAAATGCATTTACATTACCAAACATGATCATGTATATTACCAAAAAGTATAGTAATGTGCACATATACAGTGCCACATTACAACCCGTTACCACAGTGTGAAGTCCTATTTTGAGAAAAAAAACATGAAAATCATATTATGGTAATTTTCTTTATGTTTTAGTCCTATTTAGTGTAATTCCTGTAAGTAATACTACAGGTAATTAACAACGTGGTCCTTTGTTATTGAGATACATTCCTAAATAGTTCTTTGTCAAAAATGCCTATTATTAAATGATAATTAAATGAAAGACATTTTGTTTCTATCATCTAAACTATGAATAAGTTCTCAAAATAGTCTTTTTAACTTAAGTGGGAAGCTATTAGATGAATGAATTCAGCTCGAGTAGGTTCATGGGCTCAGTTTCAGAAAATATTTACTTAGAAGATCAATTAGACAAATATGTACTTAATTATAAAGAAATTTGAAGAACATACTTTAAACTTAGATAATACTTCCTTCGTCCCACTATATTTGTCCACTTTTATTTTTGCACACCATCCAATACACTTATTTAATCCATTTTATCTTGTAATTTCTATATTAAAAAATTATAGAAATTATATATTAATAATCTATATGTTAAGACAAATCAAACAAGATCACATATGACTATATTTAGGCTTACACATTGAGAGAATTTGATGAGTCAAAGTGCTTAGATGAACAGTTCCAAAAGTAAAAAGTGGACGAATATAGCGGGACGGAGGGAGTACGAAGTAAAGAATATCAAAATACCTTTTATTTGATTGATATTTAATACTCCCTCCGTCCTATAATGATTTTTCCGGTTCGCAAAACGAAGAAAAATCCCAAGTTTTTTCAATCTATTTTATTTAAATATTGGTATAGAAATAAAAAATAAAACATACATATTTAAAAACTACACCAAAAGTTCAACAAAACAAGTGGTGACAAGAATATTTTATTTTATCATATAAGCTATGAAAAAACACAAATAAATATAAATTTCCGTAAAGTTGGAATAGTGCTCTGGGAAGATCATTATAGGACGGAGAGAGTAAACATTTTGGATAGAGTAACCATTAGCTAACATCCCAATTCCAAAATTTTCACGGAACATAGTTAAAAAAATAAAATTAAAAAAAGAAATCCACCGAACATCTCTCTCTGATCTGTGAGCATTCATTAGAAGCTCATATGAATCTTCACTTGTAACTTGTTCAACAGAAATTCCATTGCGATCTCGGAGAAATGCAGCGGACGCGGCCTGGTTCGAACTGAAATGCAGTCCAACTCGCTGCCTTTCTCTCTGATTCCACTCGCGTTGTTCAATGGCGTTGAATTGAGCGAAGGCGGGTTTGAGCTTTCCAGGTATTTGTTCTTGGGCTCCCTGCTCTTCTCATCCCCAGGCGGCGGTGCCGGAGACATGGACTTGACTAAGGTCGGAGAGAAGATCCTCAGTTCCGTTCGCTCTGCCCGATCCCTTGGCCTTCTCCCAGCTCCGCCTTCAGATCGCCCTGAGGTAGTATGATTCATGCACGCTGGTGAATTTCAGCTGCAATTTCTTCTTGTTTATAATTGGTCCATTTGGACAACCCTTTCTTGAGCTGGGAACAAGGAGAAGAGTGGAAGTACGGGAAACCATTTGGTCTTAATTGATCAAGTGACAACTGGGAGGGTGATTGGGGGGACGGAATGAGATGAAATTGTTGGACAATGCATAATAACTTCTAGTCCTGTGTTTATTGATGAAATTCTGAATAGCCTGGAAGTTGCCATGACATGCCTGCACACATACTGCAATTACCCTTTTCTAAAATTGAAAATTAGGGGATGTTTCTGTATCTGGAGGATCATCATTTCTATAAGTTCTGTTCTCACAGGTTCCAGCACAAGCAGCAGCTGCGGCAGCTGCTGCACGTGTTCTTGCTGGACTACCTCCACATCAAAGGCATAATCTCTCATCAAGCTCTGAAGAATTAAGTTCAATTTATGGGAGCATATCTCCCCGTCAAATGTTAGATGATCTCGAGGAAGAATTTTATGATGAGGTTCATATTTCACTTCTAATGATCTAAGTTAGAAAACGTCCTTCCGTGCTTTTACCTTATACATCTGTTTCGTATCATTAAGTCAAAGTTGTTATATTGTTTATTCATCATAATTCCATGTTAGAAATTACTGATATACTGCCACTTGCTTGATATAAATTTATGAACTAAAGTTGACATTAATGCCTTGCCTGTTTTTTTTGAAATGTTTGGTATTATTATTAGGTCATATATGTTCCATTTATTCTCATTTCCCCTTTTTTATATACTCATTTGGGCACAAGGATGTTAATTATAATTTCACCAACTTTCTTGTGCCTCTTTTAGGATTTTGATCCGGTAAGACATGTTTTGGAGCATATTCCAACTGATGATAATGAAATGGTATATTTTGAAGAAAAGGTATAATTCTATGATTTAGATTTCCTTTTGGGGGGGGGATTGAGTTTTTCATTATATTCTCTTTGACTTTAGGGATTTGGGTTTCTATTACCTACCTTATTTTCTTTTTTCAATTATTTTCCCAATATCTGCTTTATAATTCTCTATGCTACTCATGTTGTCCTATAAAAAGGTTCCACATTTCGTTTTTGTTTGTCCCAAAAAAGGTTCCACCTTTCTTCTAAAGAAAGAGTTTTGTGGTTCATATTATCTCCCTCCTCTGCATAAATCTCAACCATACAACTTTCAACTTTTGTAATAGGCATGCTTCGTCAAATGTGGAACCTTATTCCGGGATGGAGGGAGTATTCACTATCCTTTAGAAATGTGCTTTGGTCCTCTAGTTATACTTCATTGCTGAGTTTGGACCCTTGCTTATTTGAACTGCAAAATTCACCTCCAGTTGTGCATATCCTAAAAAAAATCTTAGGAGATGGTTAAGGTCTGCATTATCTATATACATTTAAGTGATTTCATTTTGTTGAGAGTATGACAGAATCCTGACAGCATTAGAGGAGTCCATCTACTGAGTACCATGGGACCAACATTGCAATTTTTTTTACATAGTTTAGGGTGGCATTTTCAACTATGAATCTTAAGGATATAATGGCGAGTGTATAATTTGAGGACCGAAAAGGTGATGATGATATTTGTTACAGGCTGCTTTTAGATTAGCACAACTGGATAGAATTGCTGAACGCCTTTCACGCCATGTTATGGAGCACCATGAAGTCATGGGTATGAATTTTTTCATTATTCTTTGCTTCTTTTAACACTAAGATTCTTTAGATACCCCCTCTATCCCTAAATAAAAGTAGCGCTTTCTTTTTTGGGATGTCCCAAATGAATGCTCACTTCTTTACTTTCCTATCAAGGAAATAAATAAATATCATACAAAATTTTCCTTCCTCTAAACTTTTTTTAATCACTTCATGTTTAACACTTTTCTTAAACTGTGCAAAGCCAAACTTTTACATTATTTAGTGACGGAGGAAGTATTCCCCTCGATCAGAGAAGCATATTCGATAACAAATACATTTGTTGAGTGAACAATGGAATGTGAAGACACATTATCCATGGGGCACACAATCCCATGCCGCTCACAGTTTTCCTTGTATTATCTAGTAAGCATGTTATACCCCTGGATGGCTCCACCAAAACCTCAAACCATCCCTAAACATCCAAAATGCCGTGTCTTTTATTTCCTTTCAAATAAAGTCTTCCTCCACTTATTTTAAGTCCCTTAACCGAAAATAAGAAGACCACTTTTATTTCTTTTTTTAAAGCTTTAAATAATCAAATAACACACTTCCCTTCTTGTTCCTACATAGGGATGAAATTCCAGTCCCATTTGGTTCCTAAAATCCAACCAAAATTACCATTTACCACAAAGGGAAAAAATCAGCAAAAAGAGTCTAAAGTTGAATAGTAAAAGTTTCTCCTTTTGTTGACTAATTTCACAACCAAACATGTAGTGTACCTTCCTCACCTTTTCCCCTACAAAAGGCCGAAAACAATCCACCAAATACTTTCCTTTCACAGCCACACCATGTTCCCTTGTCTTGCTCACTAATAGCCGAAATACTCTCTTCAAAAAAAAGCCAAAGAATATCCTCCAAATTCATCCAATATCTCCTTGTGATTT